TGGACTTGTGGGCTTGGGCAGCATTGGGTTGGGATGTTTTCGTGATGCACATTTTCTTTGCATAAAACTCTCTCTTATACGTGAGTTGCTGTGGATTTGTTTCTCCAAAGTACCCAGACTAATACACCGACTCACATTCTTATATTTTGTAAGAAGTGAGAAACCATCTGAATAGGGCAAATTAAACTTCTATTTCCCTGCTTCCTCACCTTTAAATATATATATAATTTCAGTAAAAAACAAAGCAAAATAAATAAATAAAAGCACTGCCATCACGTCAATACTGAAGTCAGTCTAGTTCAGTGGTTCTCAACCTTCCTCATGCCGCAGCCCTTTCATACAGTTCCTCATGTGGTGGTGACGCCCCAGCCATAAAGTTATTTTTGTTGCTACTTCCTACCTGTCATTTTGCTACTGTTAGGTATCGGGTGACCCCTGTGAAAGGGTCCTTGGATTTCCAAAGGGGTTGTGACCCCCACAGGTTGAGAACCGCTGGTAGTAGACCTGCCCCTGTGGGTTTCTGAGACTGTAACTCTTGACAGGAGCAGACAGCCTCACCTTTCTCCCGTGAGCGGCTGTTGGTGTTCGGAACTGTGGGCCTTCCAGCTAGCAGGCCTGATGTAAACATCACTATGAGGTTGATTTGGCGGTGGAAAGAAAGAAAAAGGGCAGCTAGAAAATAGTCTCAATGGTTTATTTCAGAGCTCCCGGGCAAAATTCACAGACCCCTAAATCAGGGGGGGAGGTCGTGCGTCCCAGGAGGGAGGTGAGGAGTCTCCTAGTTCAGGTCTGGGGAAGGGAGTAGCTGGGGAAATCTCCACTGTAGCTTTGTTGTTTGCAGGTCCGGAGCTAAGCATCAACGTTCAAAGTTATCTGTAAGGGTTGTCTTCTGCACCTGGGCCTGAAGGCCACCGAAGGGGAGGAGGAGGGGGAAGGGGGTCTGGCCTCTCAGAGCATCCTTGGAGTGTTGTCATCAGCTCTATCTCCAAGCCTACCTGCCCTGCTAACTCCACTTCTGCCTTCTGCCTGACAGGTATGTCATCATTTCCTTGGGTAGCTCTAAATTTTACAATACATAGAGTTTCCTAGCCTTAGTCCTATTGAGTGTTGGGAATACATAAATCTGTATTTGCATAAGGGAAGGGAAGTTCTGTGTAGTCTAAGATATTTAGAAGCATTCAAAAGCCCCTATGCCTCCCATACCCATTACCCAGTCATGACAATTAAAAAATGTCTCAGACATTGCCACATTCTGGCCAGAAGGGAAAATGTTCTGGAATAAGGGCTCTAAACATGTAATCTGACCAGCCTGATCATTTTTATCACTGTCTAGAGATGCCTCTAGTCAGCTGTATGCACTGAGCACTCAAAATGTGGTTAGTCTGGGTTGAAATGTGCTATATATAAAAGTAAAATACACTCTTGATTTTGAAAGCTTAGGACTAAAAATATATAATTAATAACTTGATTTTACTTACGTCTATAGGGCCACTATCAGTCAGCATGGACTCTACAGCGAAGAGTTTGGTTTGGATTCTGTATATTTTACAATGATAATACTTGGACGTCAGCACTATTTGGACACGGGTGATAGGATTGTTGATGTGCCTCCTTGGCTATGTTGTTGTTGCCAAGCTGTTCAACTCACCAAAGCTGCCATGAAGGCATTTGAAGATTTTACTACAGCTTCTCATCAGCTTCCTTTTAGTAAGAGAAATTATTCTGGATAATCTGGATGCATCTTATACTTTCACTGGAATGACCTCAGAGAAGTCTGAGGTTTCCCTGGGATGAAAAGAAATATTGTCTGTGTAAAAGAGCTCCTGCCAGTACCATGATCTTCCCATGTCTTCTGC